TGCGCACGCGTCCGCGATTTTTCTGGGCGTTTCGCTTGGGACATCCTCGCAATTCTGAAAATCGGTGGCACCCCTCACGCAGATCGCGACGTCAGGGTCCAACAACACATGGGAAATTCAACATTTTAACATAAAACCTTCAAAAACACATGGTAATTTCAATAATTGTGACCCCGATTCTCAGTGAATGGCGGTTTCGCTTGAAAAATCCTTCCAAAATCGAGCCCCAGACCCCGCCTCGGAGCCTCCTGGGGGCCTCCTGGAACCTCCTGGGGCCTCCTGGGCCTTCTGAACCTTCTGGCACCCCAGACCCCGCCTCGGAGCCTCCTGGGGGTGTCCTGAAACCTCCTGGGGCCTCCTGGGGCCTCCTGCGGCCTCCTGGAGCCTCTTGGGGCCTCCTGAAGCCTCCTGGGGTCTCCTGGGGCCTCCTGAGGCCGCCTGGGGCCTCCTGGGGCCTCCTGGGGCTTCAGAACTACATGCACACAGAGACACACATCACGCCCAACACATCACACGCTAGACAAACATAACACACACACACACACACACACACAACACCTACAACACACAAAAAGCACGCACCACACGAAGCATACATCACAAACACACACACACACACACACACACACACACACGCACAACACTCACAATCCTGGGGCCTCCTGGAGCCTCTTCTGGTATCCAAGTCGGGCCTCCTAAGGCTTCCTGGGGGCCCTGGTACACACATCGCAAGGTGTGGCAACCCCACTTGCGCTCGAGTGCGACTTCGATGTTGCATTTCACTCCTGCTTCAAACGCCCCTTCAGTTTTTTGTATGAGCCTGGGCACACACGTGCCACTTGTATATATATATATATATATATACACTTGAAACTAGGACGCGCCACGATGCAAAGCGCCCAGGGTGCCCAAGGCACCTGGAACGTGCCCAGCATGTCTAGAACCGAGGGATGGCAAGGTCCCTACCTTCAAGACTCATCATCAAGGCAGACTTTGACTCTATACACACCCACAGAGTCGATGGCCAGGCCAGTCCTCGCCCCAGGGAAGATGTCCACGTATCCCTAGCCCAGCTAGGATCGGCGTATACGCTGATCCTGGGCCCAGCATTGGCCTTGCCCGGATCACCGTGTCAGCGCCTACAGTCAAAACGTGTATTAAGGACGGGTGGCACGGACGCAAGACCCTTGGAGGCCGAAATTGGGATTTTGTGGGGCGGCGGGCGACCAGTGAAAACGGCAGAAGACGGGCCGCAGAGGCAAGGACACAAGGGCACCCTAGATGAAGGCGCGCGTCCTCATTAGGCGAGTTGACTGTAGTCGTCGTCGCCCAACCTGCGGCGCATGTTCGAAGAACACTTCACCCCAAGCAGCTGCAGAGATCGGGCGGCGCCTCCAAAATGCGGGTGCTCCCAAAGAAGGGTGGCCCTGGGCCGAAGGTGGCCCCAGCTCGCCGAGGGGATGGCGCCGTTCGGGGAGGACGTCGCCGTGCAGGTGCGGATGCTGTGGGAACTGGCTGAACGCCTGCCTCAGGCGCCGCAGGGCCGAGGTGCCCGCGGGGCTCTGCCGCGCGGCCGCGGCCGCGCGGCTCGGCACCGGCCTCGCGCTCTCCCTCCCTCTCTCTCTGTCTCTCTCTTTTTCCCTCTCTCGCTGTCTGTTCTTGTCTCTCTGTCTCTCTGTCTCTCTGTCTCTCTGTCTCTCTGTCTCCCTCCTGGGCTTCAGACTGGCGCGAGAAGCTGGAGGCACCCTGGGCCGGGCCCCCTCCTTCTGGCAACCTCCGAAGGGTCTGGGAGGCCAGACCTCCCCACCCGCTAGGGGGCCACATGCGAACCCTACCCCTACCCACCACGATTTCTGAGGGGGAGGGCGGGGGGTAGGGGTAGGGTTCGCATGTGCCCCCCACCCGCTCGGCGGTTGCGACCGCACCAAGATACAGCTGCCAGGGTGCAGTGTATAGCTCAGTTCACCAGCCAGTGCTTGCACTGAAGGGGTCCCAGAAGATGCTGAAATAATAAGGCAGCCCGCCGATTTTGGTGGGCGGTCAATTTCCCGGTTCTTGGCTCCCAGGTTCCCTGTTCCAGGTTCAGGGCCGATTTCGGTGGGCGCCCGGGGTCCCTGGTTTGGGGTTATGGCTTTTTCGGGGGGCTGCGGGGTTCTCTGGCCCACGGTTCTGGGAGAATATGAGCAAGTACCCAGAATTGCATACAGAAAGCGGAAGCAAGAAAGAGAGAGAGAGAGAGAGCGAGAGCGAGCTATAAATACCTGTATGACCACCCTTCAGGTGAAGACGACGTTCTGCGGGGGGAGGAGCCCACACCTCACTCAATCGATTCCACTGACGGTCGCACGTTTGATCTCACTATCGATCTCACTACCAGTCTCACTACCGTTCTCACGATGGCTCGTACTCTCGATTTTCATTATCGCTCCCACGATCAATCTCACTATCGATATCACTATCGATGTCACTATCGATCCCACTGTCGAATTCACTATCGACATCACTATCGGTTTTACCATCCATCTCATTATCGATCTCACGATCGATCTCACTATAGATCTCGCTATCGATCTCACTACGAGCAATAACGGGACACCGATGGGACACCAATGGGACAAAGACGGGATATCGATGGGACACCGACGGGATACCGACGGGACATCACTATCCGCCGACCCCTTGTGGGTCTCCAAGCGTATGAGATTGTTCCCCCCCCTAATCCCACCCCCGGGAACCCCAAACCGGGATTTTGACCCCCCCCCCCCGGCCCCGAGTTGCCCCGGACCGAACTCACCCGGGGCGGTCTGGGCTCCCTGGGCTCGCTCTTGAGCTGCACGACAGCACTTGACGCCTCCCAAGAAGCCACCAAGACGGTCCACGAGAACCCAAAGTCGCCGAAAGATCGTTCCAAGACGCCCAAGATGAGCTAAAACGGCCCAAGAGGCCGCGAAGACACCCCACGAAGCCTCCAAGAGGCCTCCCAAGAAGCCCCCAAGAAACCAAAATCTGTAATTTGTGTTGGAAAACGTGCATTTTCAGCATATCCAACTTGTTAGCCTTCACGGCGTTGCAAACCGTCCACGAGGCCCCACAGAGGCCCCCAGGACCACCCCAAGACGGCCCTCGAGGCCCCCAGGAGGCCCCAAAGACAACCCAAAAGAACTCCAGCGTGGCCCAAGAGGCGCCCTAGTCAGAGCAGGCCAGCTCGCCATGTGAGCTTTCAGCCTGTGCTGAATGCGAAAGCTCAGAGCTGGACTCGCTCGACGTCGGGTGGCATGCCCATACTGGGGGACGGGCCGGAGGAGGGGCCCTAGACGGCCCAAGAGAGCTCCAAGACGGCCCCAAGAAGGGCCCAAAAGAGGGACCACGAACCGCGAATCCCAGCGCTCCGCCCAACGAAGCTCCCCGGAGGACCCTAGAAGCCCCCATGCGGCCCCAAGAGGCCCCCTTGAGGCACCCAAGAGGCCCCAAGGAGCCCCCAAGAGGCCCAAAAGAAACCCCAAAACGGCCCCCAAGACCCTTCGAAACTGCCTCGAAGAGGCCCGCGAGAATCCTCGCCACGAGATCCCACCGGGGGCCACCAGGGAACGGATCGGGACTAAGCGTGGGTCCCGGAAAATACGATAACAGCAACGAGGCAACAGGAACGATGTCGATCGCCGTGTTATGACTCGGACAAGCCTCGTGGAATGCAGTCCTGGAGACGCAGTAGTTTATAGAGGGGTAGGCGGATGTGGCGTAAGCCTGTATAATCGATCTCACTATCGATCTCACTCGATCGATATCACTATTGATGTCACTATCGATCCAACTATCGATCTCAGAATCGATCTTACTATCCCTCTCACTACAATGTCAGAATCGATCTCAATATCGATCTCGCTATCGACCGCACTATTTATGTCCGCATCGATACTACCATCGATTACACTATTGATCTAACTATCGATCTCGATCGATCTTACGATCGATCGTACTCTAGATATCACTACCAGTCTCACTACCGATCTCACTATCGATATCACTATCGATCTCACTATCAATTTCACTATCGGTCTCACTATCGATCTCACGGTCGATCTCAATGAGGGACACGGACGGGACACCGGCAGGACACTGACAGGAAGCCCGCGGAACACCGCGGGCCACCGCCGCCGGATATCCCGGGGAGGAGGACGACGTCTGTTGGCCTGGCGGTGTCCTAGCCACGAGGGTTCATCCTCTCGCTTGCCCACGCAGCTTCGCTTCGCCCGCACGCACGACACGAGCACGAAACCGAAACCGATGTACCGGTGCGGGGCTCTCCGTTTCACTACGATCTCACCCCGCCGCCTCCGATATTTTTAAAGCGCGACCTCAGAAGGTAGATAGAGGAAACAGGGTAGTAAGATGTGTATATACCTATATGTATATGTAGAGCCAGTGGAGATCTTGAGGCACATACACAGAGAGATAGAGAGAGAGGAACAACAAAAAAACTGGTGATATAGAGAGGGAGAGAAAGAGAGAGAGAGAGGCCAGGAACGACATATAGATATACTATATACATCACACAAAAGATCAAAGACGCTTCCGAAAAGTCTCCCACGGGATCCCCACAGGCGTCTGGGAGGCCTCTGACCTACAACCAAGGCAGGGTGGCGGGATGGGCCGAAGACCACTCTATACCCATACGACCGCCCTTCGGGTGATAAGGAGGTTGGGGAATGGGGGGAAAAGAACCAACTGCTGGCAAATGCGATGGTTGTGATGATACCAATGCTGGTGACGCGCCCTCGATTTAGCGACGACGCGTGGTGACGGTGGTGCGCTGCGATGTAATGTCACTATCGTCACCGCTTTCTATCTCACAACCAATGTCACAAACCTCACTGCCGATCCCACTTTTTTTGCTGCTTCAGACGCGTCGATGCGCTCAAAACCTGTCTGATAATGACAGACCTGGGCGCAGAATTCCACAATTACCCGGCGGCTCTCGATGCCGTGCTGGGGCGAGCCTGCTAGTGAAGCAGGCCGCCACCGCGAATTTGCCTCCCGGCGTGCCATGGGCACGACTTTCCCGCCAGCCCCAGCCACTGCACCAGGAACGCCTGGATGTGCGGCCGCATGAGCGCCCGCGGCTCCTGCTCCCCGGGCCGCGCCGGCTGCGTCCAGGGCTCGTGCCCCCCGCCCGGCACCCAGAGCAGGCGGTTCGCTGCGGCAGGCGCGCCCCAGGCGCGGCGGAAGAGGTACGTCATCGGCGCCAAGAATGACGGCACAAGAAGGTCTCGGTCGCCGTGCACGTCGAGCCAGGGCGTGCTCGCAGCTTGTTCGCGGCGATCGCCACCCCCAGCCAGCAAAAACGGCCACAGGGTGCCAGAGATGCCCACGGATGCAGTGACGTTAGACGAGTATCCAGAGCTTCCGCTGTGGCCCTCCTCGGGCACGGAGTTCATAGTAGCGGCAATGATTGCGCCTGCAGAGGTCCCCCAGGCCGCGATGCGATCGGGGTCCACGCCGTAGCTGGCCGCGTGCCTCACGAGGAAGCGGACTGCGGCCTTCGCATCGAAGACCGCGTCGCGCACGGACGAAGTCGGCGGCAGGCCTTGCACACCCTCCAGGCGGTAGTCCATCACGAAGGCCACGAAGCCGTGCCGTGCCAGGTGCACGGCCTCTGTCACTACGATGGAGCTATTCCTGGCCCCCTTCCAGAAGCCGCCGCCATGGATGATCAGCACAGCTGGTGCCACGGAGTCGTTCAGGCCGCGGGCCCGGTAGACGTCCAGGAGCAGATCCAGGCCCTGCTGGTGCCGCCAGTCCTCGGCCTGCCCGAAAGGCACCCCGCGCGCAGATTCGACATCCTCCGCAGGGAACGCGGCCGAGCAGTAGCAACCCCGGCACTCCGCGGGCGAGTGCTGCCCCCCCGGGAGCTCACCAGGCGGCCAGGCGGCAGTGGCAGCGAAGCCCGCGGCGGCCGCCAGGAGCCCGGCGCTGTAGGCCGCCACCACGCCCGCGAGCACGCCCGTGACGCAGCACCGCGGCCTGCTGGATCTGCTAGGGGGCCACATGCGAACCTTACCCCTACCCCCCGCGATTTCTGAGGGGGAGGGTGGGGTTCACTTCGCTGGGGAGCTCTCGAGCGAAGTGAACCCCACACTCCCCCTCAGAAATCGTGGGGGGTAGGGGTAGGGTTCGCACGTGGCCCCCTATCTGCTGAGGCCGAGCGCGGAGTGGAAGCTGCGACTGCCTCGCAGCAGCACGTGCCCTGCATCTCCTTGCGGAGGCATCGGGTGTAGCTCGACGTCCACCGGGAGCCCCTCAGCATCGCGGCCGCCCGCGCCGGCGGGGAGGAGGGCCAGCACCAGCGTGCCGAGGGCCAGCCAACCGCAGGCACAGCTGCCCAGCGCCGCGCGCCAGAACCAGAGCCAGTCGGCCTCGATGCGGTCCGAGGAATCGAGCACCAGCAGGCGTCCGCCGTACGCCAGGGAATGCACCACCACCAGCCCCCACAGCGTGTCGAGAGCTGCCCAGCTGTAGTACAAGTCCATGGGCCGCCTGCGAGAGGCGAGCAGGGCGATGGCCGCCGCCGCCCCGCCGGCGACCGCCGCGGATGGGAGCCCCAGGGCCGGGAGCGTCACAAGGAGGATGGTCGACGCCCAGACCAGCGTCCACGCCACGGCCGCGGTCTTCTGCTGGGTGGTGCGCCCGACGTCGGGGCGTTCCGATGGACTGGGCGCGTCCGCGACGTCCGAGATGTACACGACGGCACCCCAATCAGCGACAAGAGTCAGCAGGGCCCAGGCGCAGAATCCGCCTGTCAGCTGCACCACCACTGCAGTTGAGCCACCGACCCGAAACGCCGCAAAAGGAAATACCAGCCATCGGGCCGCCAGAAAGCCGTGCAGCAGCAGGAGTGCGGAGCGGGAGTCTCTGGTACCCAGGCACGCCCTCGCGGCCGAGACGCCTTGCACAAGCGGGCGCATGGCCCGCGCTGCTCCGCTCAGGCCCTGGCCATCGCGGCCTCCAGCCTGGCCATCGCGCCAGACCAGGCGCGTCTGGCGCCCCGCACGCGGGCGCGCCCTCGCCCCCCGCACGCGGCTTGCGCCAAAATGGCTACGGATCACAGTCGATCTCACCTTTGATGTCACGATCCGTCCCACTCTGACGATCTCATTACCGATGTCACTACCGCCTTCACTATCGATAGCAAGGCGGGACACCCCCAGCCACCGCCCGCCAATCGCCGACGGAACACCAATAGGATAAAACAGGACACCACGGCGGGACATCCTGGGCCACCGCGCGCCCACCGGGGGCGGAGGCGCGGTCCACTGCATCCGAATTGCCGCAGCGACGGCGGGATCAGTCCTCTCGCGCGCCCACGCAGCTTCGCCTCGCCCGCACGCACGACACGAACGCGACACAAAAACCGATGTACCGATGGGGGGCTTTCCGTTCCACTGCGATCTCACCCTCACCCTCGACCTCCTTCAGGGCCAGACGGAAAAAGGGACAGCCTCGAAAGCCCATGCACCTTACGAGGCATCGCGATCTCATGTTTCAAATCTCTGTCTGAACTATCTGCTTGGCGAATCAGCTCAAACACCTGTTCAAGAGAGCACTCGACGAAGAGGGGCCCAGAACAACCGGGCACCGATGACTTCACAACGGCCACCCGACATGGAACCCCACGAGCTTACAGAGGGGAGAAGGCGAGGACGGCGGGGCGAAAAAGACTTGAGCAAAACAATTGCGGCCGACCCAAGGGAGAGAGACGTTCAGAGAACTATTGCATATCCCTCCTTCAGGGCCAGACTGAAAAAAGGCGACAGCCTCGAAAATCGCGATCTCTTTTTCAAATCTCTGTCTGAACTATCTGCTTGGCGAATCAACTCAAACACGTGTTCAAGAGAGCGCTCGAAGAAGGGCCTAGAGCAACCGGGCACCGAACATTTCGAATTGCGGCATCTCGACGGCCACTCGACATGCAATTCCAGACCCATGCTGTGCTCTGGAGCCGCCTGAGGCATTCAATAGACCTAACAGAACACATTAAACACCTTAGCACCGCGAACTGATTCCCAAGATCTAGACAGCCACACGGCGACAACATTAAACAAACGCTTCGGGCACGCGGCAGCGAAAGCGGTGTAATTCACGGTGTTGCCAGGCACTTCGCCCCTCAGCACACTGCGAGGTTACCGTGAGATGGGGCGAGCGCCACGGCCGCTGCACAAAACGCTTCGATCTTTGAGCAAAGTGCCCGTTGCACAAACGAGCTCGCTTGCGCCAGCGGGCGCCGCGCGCACGCTGATCACCCGCGAGCTGTTTGCAGGACCTGTGAGCGCAGAGACCGGCCATCAGAGGCTCTCTCCAAGCCTTCGAGGCATGAAGTTTCTCAACGAAGATAATTACGGATTTGAAATCGAACGCACGAGCGAATTAGTCTTCGAGTAGATGCCATGGCACGATTGCCTGAAGTTCAACGGGCGTGCTCTGCAGGAACGGCATCAGGGATCACATGGGGGAACCAATTGCGTCGAATGCGTTTACAAAAGACAGGGGTCCAACCGCTACACGGAAAGGCTGCAAAAATGCATTTGGCTCTGCGATTCCTCAACCAACCCAAGACAACATCCATCGCGACAGGAAATGATAAATCGAACCCAGGTCCTTTAACGGGAATCAAAACTGATACACTACCCACCCTGCAACTGAAACTGTTCAGCGGTGGCATACTTTTCCATCCAGGCTAGCGGCGGCAGCGGCGTGGAGCTCGCGCCGAAGTCGTCGCCGAATCTCGCGCGCAGGGAGACGCCCATGCAGTCCCGCGTCGCCATCGCCGCGGCCTTCGCGAGACGGCCGCCTGACCCCGCCACGCATTCCCAGAGCTGCCACTTCACCTCGCCCCGGCCGAGGGCGAGAATCCACCCCGGCCCGACTGCGTCGAGCTCGACGGGCGCGGCGACCACGACGGCCCCCGCGTCGCCGACGCCGAAGGAGAGGCTGCGCGCACGCGCGGTCGCCACAGTAAGTCCGGCGCGGCGCGGCGAGGCTGCGCGCCCCGCGCAACGGCAAATCTTGAACACTGAATACGTCTGCGAGGCGAGGCGAAGACCTGGTCGATGCCCCCCGCCAGCGGCGGCCCTCTCTTGGACGAGGGAGAGCGCCCTGGACAGCCGACGCCCGCGCGCGTGGCCTGCCCCCGCAGGGCGCCTGCTGCCCTGCCTTCAGAAGACGCGCACTGCTCACCCGCGGAGTCGCCGGAGCCCTCGCACGCGCGGGCTGGGCGCAGCGACGATGAGGGGCTGAATCCCCTCCACGCCCAGCTCGAACCAGCCCCGGACACCGCAGCACTCGTCAAGCGCGCGCAGAGCCGTCTGGGCCCCACCGCCCGCCCAGAGCTGACGGGCCCCCCCCGGCGCGGCAGCGCGCCCCTGACCGAGCTAGTCGCCGCCGTTCTTCAGGAGTTCCCGCACGGGCAGCTCCGCAGAGCTCGCGGTCGCGCTCATCAGGACAGGGCTCGAAGCCCGATCCCAGGCCGCCCTCGATGTCGCGAGCGGCCGCGGCATCGCGCCCGAACGACTCCAGGGGGTCGATGCGCCCTGCCGCCTGCCGGCGCCCGTCGTCGAACTAGCCCAACAATTCAGATGGCCCCCCGATCCTGGCCAGCTCCTCAACGGCGCGACCGAGGAGCGATCGCCCCTCCCGGGCCGGGCCGCGCCGCGCCACGGCAGCCGAGCGTCGCGAGGGCCGCGCCCGCCGCCGCTGCCCGGAGGCATGCCCGCGAGCCCTCGAGCCCAGAGGCGGCGTCCGCGCGGTTGAACTCGGAGGGCAGCCATCGAGAGATCACGGCGGAGTCCGACGATAAGGAGGGGGCAACCAGCAAGCGGCAGCGACTGTCAACGACGGCGTTGGCGGCTCTGTCTTTGCCCTGAGCCAGGACGACGCCAACGTCATCGCCAAGCAATCAGTGTCGGCTGGAGAATTGACGCAGCGATCGAAAGCCAATCCTGGAAGCAACGACGTCGGCGCGCCCCTCGGATGACGCGACGCCCTCAGCGCGCCGCCAGCGGCCTCTGGATTTCAAACCCCACCCTGCGAAGTCCCCGACGTCGCGCCCGACAATGTCGAAAAACTCTGGGGGGGACTCGTCCGGCGGAAGCTCGGGCGCCGGCGCGGGGTCCGGCCCCTTCTGCAGCCATCTGGCTGACGGCGCGCTGGCGAGCTGCCACCGCGTCCTCTCACTCTGCCGCCCCAGCACCTGACTATGTCAGGCGGGGGGCCGTGGCCGCCGCGCCGAGGCCGCCGTTGCCCACCGCGTCGACGCCCTCGAAATCTGAGGCAGTCACGATGGAAGACCAGGGCCGTTTCGAGTCGGCGCGCGCCAACGGAAGCAGAACCACCATCCACTTGAACTTCTTCGCGACAGCGGGCCGCAGTCAAATGCTGCTGTTTTCGACGCGGTCGATGAACTTCTGGACGGCATGGGGCGCGCACAGAAGGAAGCGCCGCAACATGGCCGACAAGGCGCAGCGGCCGACAATGCGGCGCAACATCTTCCCGGAGGCGAAGCTGCCCTCAAGAATGGCCGAGGCCGCCAGCCGCGCCTTCCAGCATCGCTTGTGCCCGA